TCCCACCTGGCAAAAAAGTTATATTTTTTGAAGTTTGCAACGAAGCTAGGGATGTACCAGGCGACTAAACACACAACAGTTAGGATACCGCCCAATATGAGCGGGCCGAACGGGAGAATACTGCCCGTCCTCGAAACCAATCAGATTGCAGGATTTGTAGAATACCACCCACTCACGCATCGAGAAAAAAATAATGCGCTACGCTATCTCGCTGTTTTACCATAAAAATAGCTAAAACAACTATTCGCCTCTGCGTTGGTGGCTAGCGACGGATATTTACCGTGCCTCTTATCCACCAAGGTGAAAAATTGTTTATCAAAATAAAGCTAACAAAAATCGAAATAAATAAAAATAGTTGTAAACTCTACAAGGATAGTGATTTTCATCAGCCTAACAAGATGACAATGGAAAAAAATAATGGGAAATACTTTTCCACTCGTTTTTTTCCAACCACATTTTGCAAATTGTTTAAATTAAATCATGGGGAATTTCCTTACATTACTTTAAGTTCCTCCATATTCCGGAAAGTGTTTTGAGGAATGTGTCGCAGTAAATTATTTGATAAGTCCCTAGAAAGAGAGAGAGAGAGAGTTCATGAAAAACAAATTGTTTGATTCTCGGAAGATTAAGCATAAAATTTTCCATAAGCCAAACGTTCCCCTTACAGAGGATTATTTGTCCTTTCCTGTTTTACTTATAATTAGAGGGAGGATGCTAGTATCCTAATGATCAGCTAATACGGTCGAGATTAAACAGCACACAGATAATAGTTTAACTATTGAACCAACAATGAGTACTCAGATATAACTTGTTATCAGATGGTTAACTCTTTGATTTATTCGCGTTTTTAAGGTGGCTCGGGAGATCTTTCAAACTTTTTCGCAACGGTGACAAATTTTTCTTCTGAATGTGCCAGATATATGCATTACCTTGACCGCTGTTTCCTTTAGATTAATGAGGTTTGGCTGGACTGTGCGAATTGTCTGATCAGCTATCAAACTTTCCTCACATACAGACACAATAAGCTTGGCTAACTAATCTTCAAACTTACTTCCATCAAATGGACTTTTTTTTAAATTTTTTTGTCTATTAACTATTAAAACGAAAAAGTGCTTCGCTATAAGAGAAAATCTTGTCGATCCAATACCAATTTCTCCTTAACGGAAACCATATCCTTTTACATTTCTTAAGAACTCACAGTTTATTTTTTTTAAATTCACCTTCATTTACAACTTACAATTTCTTTAAAACGGTCAGGTTCCTAAAGATGTCTTCTGTAATTGAGCTCAACGAACAACTTGAAAGATCCCTGAGTAAAAATTAAACTGTAAGTAGAAATGGTAATGATCATAAATTTGAATTCTAGAGGAGGTAAGGTCCGAAAGGAATCAATAAGCGACTATCTGAATTAAAAGTTTTTTAGTTTAAATTGACACATAGCGTCCAATTATTGAGTTTTCACAGTCTTATGACTTTTCTTATGATTAATTTTAAATCGTGTGTTTGTTTTTCCTTTTTCTTTTTCCTTGTTTGTTCGAAAATCATCTTTGCTTTTGGTTTTTTTTTTCCTATAGCTCTGACCAAGACTCCTTAGCAAGTCTGCAAAATTAAAACTACCTTCCTCTAGGATGTGTCTACAAACTATTAGCATAGTAACAAATATGAACACAAAGGAGACGATAACAGACCCTGCAGGACAAAGGATGACGAAGTGTCTCTATCACTTACAGTTCTACTGTATTGTTTGGGATTCCGGCCGGTATGTATCCATGAACTCGACATATTACTCTTTGCCGAGTCCCACCGAACTTGGTACATTGACAGATTTTTTGGCTGCAAACGTCACTCCTACATGGTGTTACAAAGCACAAGACCAAGATGACCTGTATCACACCAGTGAGCATCGTTACCCTGGCCAGAGCGGTTTGCTGGAAACACAAATACCTAATAAATAAAGACTTATTCAAAACCTGTATCCGTCGTTCAAAAGCAACATGGCTTACGTTGCGAGGCATGTTTCTCCGGTAGATAAATTAACATTCGCATATGTAATCACTGTTTTCAGTTGGAATAAATCAGTTTTATCCAAATATTTCTCTGACAGGAAGCTGTGAGGTCATATTTCTTCTAAATCAAAAAACTGCAAATTGGTCTCTCTGAAATAAGAAGAAAAAAGAGATTTTT